AAATTTTTTTTTTTTTTTTTTTTTTTTTTTTTTTTAATTTTTTTTTATTTAACTATTCACCGTGCAACATGCATGGAATGATAAACATTCTTATTTATTATTACTTCGTCGTACACTCGTTTTGGTTTTGCGGGTTCTTTCTTTAGAATGGATATCTCTTAGAATGGAACCAATCTCTAATTCAATTATTATTCACATAGCTTCTCTTTCCTTCACCTCTTCCTTTCTCTTTTTCTTTTTCTCTCTCACTTGCTTGTTCACTTTTTCATCCTTCTTAGGTTTGTGATCTGTCTTCCTTGTTTATTCTAATTTTTATTATTTCTTTTATGTTTCTTAAACTATTTATCAATTTTAGATTCTTGGAAATGTATAAAGGAATGTATTGGAAATCTTGTTTTGCTTCCAAGTAGTATTTTTAATATTTTTTTTGTACGTTTATTTGTAGTATATGAAATACATATATTCGTTATCTGCTTCAAATTGTCTTGAAAAACTTTTGTGTTTCTATAATTTTAATAAGTATCTTCTATTTCTTTTATTGCATGTTATCACCTCATTAGATATATATTTATATTCTATTTTTTATTTTAATCAATATATTCTATCAATTATCGTACTTTGTGTCTTGATTGCATTATCAATTATAATAACATATATATATATAACATATATATATATATATATATTTCTTAATGATTTAATTTCTATTTTATTCTAGTTTCATATGTTCCAGTTTAACTTTAAGATATTTTTTGTTGCAGTACCGGCAAGCAGTTAAATCACCACAACTACTTGCACATCAACAGAAGCAGAGATCTTTCTTGACCTTTGGATTTGGTGCGGGACCAGCTAGAAGGGAATCTCATGTAAATGTTAATGTGACACCGACCAGCCATGACCTTACATCTGATACACCTGAAATACGCAAATATAAGAAACGATTCAACAGTGAAATTCTTTGTGCTGCGCTTTGGGGTATAAATGCATTACATGAATATATACGTATACATTTCCTTAAGAAGACTCTTAATGATCAGTACAATATTTGCAGGAGTAAATCTATTAATTGGTACCGAAAATGGCCTTGTATTATTGGATAGAAGTGGTCAAGGAAAAGTATATCAATTAATAAGTAGAAGACGATTTCAACAAATGGAAGTTCTTGAAGGACAAAATATTTTGGTTACAATTAGTGGAAAAAAGAATAGAGTACGGGTATATTATCTTTCTTGGCTTAAGAGTAAAATTTTGCGAACGGATGGACATAGCGATGTAAGTTTTATATTTCTTGATCTGTTACATATTATTGCAATTATATATTAAATTGCAATTAATAAATAATATTTGATATTATTGCAGCAAGTTGAACGGCGCAATGGCTGGATTAATGTTGGAGATCTTCAGGGTGCGGTACATTTTAAGATAGTCAAATACGAAAGAATAAAGTTTCTTGTCATTGCATTGAAAGATTCGATAGAAATTTATGCTTGGGCTCCGAAACCTTATCACAAATTCATGGCGTTTAAATCGTTTAGTGAACTTGCACACAGACCATTACTTGTCGATCTTACTATAGAAGAGGGTTCCAGATTGAAAGTTATTTATGGTAGCGCCGATGGTTTTCACGCTGTTGATTTGGATTCTGCTACGGTTTATGATATTTATCTACCAAAACATGTGAGTAAATAATATTTATTAAAATAATTAATCTTTATTGATAAATTTATTGTCGAAACATTTGTTTTTAATCATAGACTCAAGGTCCTATTTGTCCACATTGTATCGTTGCATTACCAAACAGTAATGGCATGCAATTATTATTATGTTACGATAATGAGGGTGTATACGTGAATACTTATGGTAGATTATCCAAAACCATGGTTCTTCAATGGGGTGAAATGCCCACTAGTGTTGCATATATCGGTACAGGACAAATTATGGGCTGGGGTAACAAAGCTATTGAGATTAGAAGCGTAGAAAGTGGACACCTTGATGGTGTGTTCATGCACAAGAAAGCTCAACGGCTCAAGTTCCTTTGCGAGCGTAATGATAAGGTATACGTGACTATTTATAATGATAAGATATGCGTGAATATTTATATTAATATAATTTAACAATTTTTTAAATATATTATATTTTTATTATTCGGTTATTTTAGGTATTTTTCTCATCAGCTAAAGGCGGAAGTGCGTGCCAGATTTACTTCATGACATTAAATAAACCTGGCATGGCTAACTGGTGATCCCGAATATGGCCAAATCTGGCCCTCAAATTATCTTTACGAATAAGGACACAAAATCTTTCTCGTATATCGAGATACGCATCATCGCCATTCATGTTAATTCGTTTTTCACTGCCAGGATTTAAGGCCATGGAAAGCAAGCAATGTTCGTATTGGAGTCAACAACATTATCAATATCATTTTCAGTCTTATTACAATTGTCATTATTATCATTATCATCGTCGACGTCGTCTTCGTCGTCGCCGTCGTCGTCTTCTTCGTCTTCTTCGTTATCATCGTCGTCGTCGTCGTAGGCGACGTCAACATTGTTATCGTCATCGTCAACGTCATCACCACCACTATTACCATCATCATCATCATCACTTCCACCATAACTATTATCATTTTTATCCACAAGACCATTATAATCTATATCGATATGTTTGCTCGAGTAATTGCACATTAATAAAAAAATATCAAACATTCAATAAAATATCTCAACAATATTTTCAATTGTTTTTGCAAAATTTACAAGCGAAATTGTTATTTTTAAGTCATTTCGTACAAAAATTTTTGTGTTCTTTTAATTATTCATCTTACGTGATGCAACTTAGCATATGAGAGAAAAAAATGGTTCCTTCTTTACGGTAATATGCCTCTCGACAGAGGAAAATAAATAAGAATAAAATATATGCACAAACCATTATTATACTGAGTAATAATTCATTATGTTTTGCCGATATTTGAATGTCATTATTAAAACAATTTTTTTTCATATTTAAAAGACGTATTTAAATGAACAAAAAATATATATATATATATCATAAAATAATTTTAAAGTCAAGACGAATGAGTCCAAAATATAAATCTTCCGAAATAATTTTGAAATTGTATAAATAATAAGTTATTAGCGATTCGTAACAGAAATTATTATACTGTATTGTTTTAATAAGTGCAAAAGAATTGTGCAATATCGATGCTTTCATCTATATAAACAAAAAAAAAAAACTTTTCATAATAAGTTTGTAACAAGTGGCTGAACTTTTCTATGATAATAAGAGAAATATGAACTGTCTCGATAGTTGTAAGTGCAAATACGCGAGCAAAATGCAGTGTGAATGGATTTTTGCGATTTACATTTCGAGAAAGAGAGAATATAGAGAGGACGCGCGCGCAAACTGAAAATAGGAGCAATGTATGCAAGGGGGTGTGTGTAATGTATGTTTTTAAAGTAATTTTTGATTGAATGTATTTTTTTTCACATTTATAAAGATTATTATAATTGACGTAATAATATCATTCTTCGAAAAGATTTCTCCCATGATATACAGTTAAATGTAATCGTATATATTATTGCATCAAGTTTATATAAGACCTTTTTAAATGGGAGAATAATATTGTTTTTAACAGTAAAATAATAGGAAAATAGCGATGGACTAAAATGTTATAACTAAAATTAGGAATAAGAAAGATAATTACTAATGTTATTAACTGTATAGTTTGTAGTAATCGATGGATTCGTATGTCCTACTTCTTGCAATTTAAAATAATGGCGATGACGATAATATCACGACGATGTAATATGTGGCGTTGGATAAATTGCATTTTTACGAGTAATAGATTTATGTTAGCAGTTTTTGAGACATAAAGTGATAAGGTGCAAAGAAAACATTTTTCTATTTCATTATTTTTTCTAAGATTTAATATACTTTTTATGTTTAACTTGCACCCTCCTCTTTGCGAAAGGTATTCGATCGAATACAGTCGCATATTTTTTATAAACATAGAAACGCGTTCAATATTTAAATAAAGA